GAATGAACGATGGTGATGAGTGAAAATAACTTTAAATCGAATGATGGATTTTATGAATGACCAAAGATGCATTTTGAATTGACTAATGACCTAGTATTTTCAAGAGGATAATGAACTAGGTCGAGACCTTTCATTTGAAAAGTTCTCTTTGTTTGCTTTAATGACATTTTTTATTTTTTTTTAGTTTAGCAAAACACAAGATGATCATTTGATGCATCTAAGCAGAGGATTTGAGGTTTTACAAGTAGAAAAAATGCATTTGAATATGAAGAAATGCCATTTTTTTGCTATTTGTGAATTTTTTTTTTAATATTTCTTGTATATGGAGATGAATTATCTGTTAATCTCGATTAATTTAAAGAGATTAATGATTGATCAAAATCTACTAATATATACAATTTTTAGATTTTTCATAGTTTGACTATTTCTTAATGACGATTCATTGAATTGTTTAATGCTTTTATGGCTCCAATTAATTTTTTTTTTAAAGAAGGGAGAATTCTAAGTAAGTTCATCACAATAAAGTTAACTCTTTCATTCTTACTATTTAACATTGAACATCTTATCATCAATTTAATAGTATAACTAGAAATCAAAAGTTCCCAGCATTGTCATCACTCAGGAGATTTTTATTGGGGTTGTCATCATAGCAAATAATTTTCTTCCTTGTCTTATCCTCATTGTAGTCCAAGTTTTCTCAATCTTTTTATTCTTCTTCTTCAATCTCAATTAACTTCCATTTTCCTAAACAACAAATAATTAATAAGGAATACTAATTGAATTTTAAAAACTTTTGAATTAATTAAATTTCTCTGTATATCTTTTCTTTTTCATTCTTATTGCTATTAGCTTGTGTTAGATGCATGTATTTTGCTTCTATCATCATCGAAGAAGTCAACATTAAGATCTTCTTATTATAATTCAGATGATGTGAATTCAATTTCATTATCCACAAATCATTCATCACCTGACGCATTAGTGGATTCTCATCATCCTTCAATTCTTTCCGTTTCAAATTTTTATTATTCAGTCTCTTGTTGTATATATGGACACCAAGGAGTTCATCCTTAAGGTGATTAGGCGATTTCTTCTTTTTGTGTAAACTTGATTGTATATGCTCCAGTTGTGCTCACATCTGAATGATGAGAATGTAATTTCTAACACCATAACAGCAAAACACTAGCTTAGGAGTGCCATCACCAATTGGATCCACCACAACTAATGTTAAAAGAAATAAGTATCATAAGAACTTATGAATTTAGAATTTGGAGGCTACATTTAAATTTAACTCATGACATTAAAATGAAAAAATCAATTGGAAAATATTTTGCAACTCTATCTTTAACCTATTGAAGCCTAAGAAACTTTCTTCTTTTTTGAATGGTACAAGTTGCATATTAGTTCAAAACTTCAAATGAGTCTGCAACTAGCCTATCCTAACTGGTACAGTCTAAGTTTTATCTCAAGATTTGTTGAATTATTGTCTGTATATTGAAATTGAGGGTAAGGTAGTAGCCTACTACATGCTATAAATCCCACATATTGTTAATCATATCCCATATTTTCTTATAGCTTGCCTCCGCTTCTCCTAATGTTTGGGCAATCAACTCCTCTTCATTTAGTGCATTGTAGATAAAACTCATAACTCATTTTTTTTCCATCGACCATTCTCAGAACTTGAACCAATGGCCTAGTTGTGATTAGTGCATATGAGCCACTTAATCAGAATCTCTCATTCATAATAATTTTTCTAACTTCTTTTCCCTCAGCCTTTCTAGCCCAATAACATTTGAGTCATTGAGTGGAAGTAAGCAAACTTAGCCTGCCAAGGTTGCATGTCCTCCTTCAGCATGCACTATAGTGTCAAATAAGTTGTAGCAAATTTGGTTACAATAAGCCATAGGTGTTCTTAGAAAACTTCCGTATCAATATAATTTACTTGTTTTCTTTGTTTTGCTCAATGCATTCTTATGTTGTACCAAATTACCTAGTTTTTAAAAATGAGACCTATCTAGTGTGTGGCACAAGGTGTCCAATATAGGTTCTTTCTCTTCTCCATCAATTTTACCGCAATTGTCCTGTAAGCATTAGTGTTATATATTACAATCTAAATAACCAAGAGCTCTCTAATCTCCTCAACCACTCTAAGCAATCAAAAAATGTACTTTGCATTCTTAACATGATCAGATGCTTATGTAGACATCAAAAAAATAGTTTTGTAAGATTATTTATCAATATGTTAATTAGTTTCCTCCTAATGTCAGACCATCCATCAAACATGACTGTTGCTCCAGTTTGATATGAAGTCCTTTTAATTTTCTCTATAGCTTTTTTTGGGTTGCTCAACTCCTCTTTTAACACTCATGTTCTTAAGTCATACATAGATAGGGATTTCAAGCCTTGACCATAAATTCCAATGGAACATATCATACTATAGTAAGAAGGGAAGATTGCTACATTTAATTGAATGTTTTTTCCATAGAAAAATCTCCTTGTATCTATGTAGGCACATCTGCGTGCCTCCCCAACAATCTTTGGATAACTCCTACGATGCACATGGCCTCTTCCCTCCTATCATTCTTCAGGTTGACTATGTAGTGATCCATGGAACCTCCTGCACCTCTGCTTGACATTGATGTCAATGATGAGGATGAGTCTTTGTCATTTCGCTCACTCCCATAATATGAGTCGACATCAATTCTATCATTGAATTTTCATTGCACCAGATGCTTCGGCATCGTCAATGTATGAACATATGAACAGATCCCCACTTTTATAGTTTTTGTTACTTTGGCACATGATGTCATGTTTTTGTGAGATCCTGAGACATGTTCCTTTATCCTTGTAACACCCCATTTGACTATCTTTTTTGCAGTAATTACACTTTCAATATGTATGTTTTATCACATAAAGTCTACTTAAATAGTATGTCTCCATGCCAAGTTCTTTCTACTATTCACAGCGGATTTCTTCTTGTATCTCACTTTTTTGTCCAGAACTTTAGAATGAAAATTTTGATTCAAATTTGAGAACATGAAAACATTCATAGAATTAAACATGGACTGAAGATGGTTGCTTCTTGACTCAGTAAGATGGTAGCTTAGTGTGTTGACTTAAAGCTACTACCATCGAGCCTTTATTGAATCCCTCTTTCTTGTTCTGGTCTTTCAACGCCCAAACTGTTGTAGTATATTCAAGGTCTGCTGGAAGTCCAACAACCTGCACATAATTCAGGGAAAGACTAGGTAGATTATCCTTGATCAAGGAGAAAACTAAATTAAAAAAAAAAATCAAGATCAGAGAACCTTATTTATTGTTTCTTGATTCAAGAAAATTGTAAAACCTGAAGTTTCATCTTAAAATAAAAATTATAACTGGCCTTTCGTGTCCATCTTATCTTAAATTAAAATATATGGGATATATTTCTATTATTTAAAAAATAAGGATAACAATCTATTACAGGGGCAAGTATTTTTAAATTTCATATTTAAATTTAAAAATATAAATTTCCATCAGATTTGGCTTAAGATTTCTTTATCGTAAAGCTGAAGGAGGGAGGGAAATTTATGGGGTAGTACCTTTACCGCTATGAGCTCTCGTTCCAGTATTTCAGCAGATGTCTAGCTACTGCAGGAAAATAGGGGAGGAAGAGGGGAAGGAAGAGAGAAGATGAAAGTGTGGATTACATTCTCCGTTCAGTTGCTCTTTATCTTGCTAGCAGTCACTAGCAGCAACAACCACCTGGGTATCCTACTTTATTGCTCTTCACTTCCTCGCTTGGGATCTGTCATCCTCTCTCTTGTATGCTCTCGCTTTATGTCTTCCTTTTTTTTTTTCAAAATTTTTATCAATGTCTTCCTTTGTTATTCTATCTGTTCACACTCTCATCTTTTATTATGTGAGGGTTAAGGACGTAGGTTGGGCTTTGGCCTCTCCCATCGGTAGGCTTTGGGAGAGTAGTACCAGACCTTCAACTTCGAACCAGCTAAAGATCCATTGCTTAAAAAATCTCACTACTAAATGTTTCTGATGGTTTTCAGGTGTTTACTTGTCTCATTGTCTGCAAATTGAGGGTTGTTGATGATGCAGCCTTGTTTTATGGAGGCTTCTTTTTCCAATCCAATATGTGGTTTTGTGTAATTGTTAGCGATTATCTTGATTCAAGAGGGAAGATGATACCATTAGGTGAGGGGAGATGCATTAAGTAGAAAGCCCACTTTGTCTGTTTTGTTGTATGACATTAAGGTTTTATTTGGGACAGTTTTTTTACTGTTTTGTAAAATTATTTTTTAGTTTTCTTTTTTTTTTTTTAACTAGAAATTTTTATGCTAGAAAGCTTCTTTAAAAAACATTAAGAAAGTCGCCCCAAACAAAGCTGAGATTCAACATAAAATTTTGTTTAATTTAAATAGGAACCTAAGCCAAAATTTTTTATTTCTCTTTTCTTTTTTTTTTCCCCTATATAGTGTCTGTTTTTTCTTTCTCCTAAAGAGAAGAAAAATAATGAAACAAACCACAACCTATTTTATGTGATCTTGATTTGTAATTATTTTCATGTTAGGCTTGCATTTTTGGGGTGTTTTCAGTTGTGAAGTCTGTAAGATAATTAAATTTATTCTCTTGGTTATCAATTCTGTTGCTTTCACTTTTTTTTTTTTTTTTTTTTTTTTTTCCTTTTTTTTTTTTTTTTTTTGCTTCTTATCACTGATTGCTCTATAATATATGTTTACTTGGCTATTTTCTGTGGACTGTATTTGTACTTTTTTCGTGTTAGGTTTTTTCATTTTTTTTGGATGATATTTTTGCCGTTATGATGCATGTGTGGTAACTATGTTTAATCTCAATTCTTCCATTTTTGTTGGTTTCACATTATTTTTATTACTTCTTATCATCGACTGTTCTTATATGTCGACTTAGCTGTTTTGTTCTATGCTCAAAATGCTTTAACTTGTTTGTTTATTTTCATGATAACTGACTTTAAAATAAAACCTTTGTTGTAGGTATTTTCGCCATGCTTCTGGTGAGATTTTTGTCATATCTAGAGCTTTGGCCCAATTTATATCTATAAACAGGTAAAATCCTATTAACATTCCTTGATGCTATTCAACTTAAGATTTTTAGAATCGGATAGGAGATTGAAGTAATGGAGGGAAAGATTTAAGGTCCAAAAGTTTAATTGTGATTCAATTAAGGTTCAACCATAATAATCTAACAACAACAACAACATTAACATCAAGCCTTTATCCCACTACGTGGGGTCGGCTACATGAATTTTTTTTCTCCATTGTGTCCTATTAAAAGTCAAATGCTCGTTTAAATCTAATAAAGAAAGGTCATTCCTAATATTTTCTAACCAAGTCTTTTTAGGTTTACCCCTACCTTTCTTAACACAAGTCAAATCTAATACCTCTACTCTCCTAACCGGGTCATCGGAAGGTCGCCTTTTTATGTGACCAAACCATCTCAGGCAACTCTCTCTAATCTTATCTTCTACTGGAGCTACTCCAACCTTTTCCGCTCATTTTGTATCCTATCTCTAAGGGTAAAGCCACTCATCCACCTGAGCATCCTCATCTCTGCCACACTTAACTTAGTATTATGCATCTCTTTTAATGGCCAACATTCGGCACCATAAAGCATTGTAGGCCTCACTACCATCTTATAGAATTTTCCCTTACGTTTGAGGGGTACATTTCTATCACATAACAAGCCCGATGCATTCCTCCACTTCAACCATCCAACTTGAATTATGCTGATAATATCCCCATCTATTTCACCATCACTCTGAACAATAGATCCAAGATATCTAAAACGTGTACTCTTATTAATGTCTTGATCGCCCAAAGTTACAATCCCCTCACTAGGTCTATTACTACTAAAATTACACTTCATATATTCCGTTTTAGGTCTACTCAAGCGAAAACCTTTAGACTCTAAGGTTAACCTCCATAATTCAAGTTTACCTTCAACTCCCTCTCTAGTCTTATCAACAAGAAGAATATCATCAGCAAAAAGCATACACCAAGGTACATCATCTTGCAAATGTCTAGTGAGAACATCCATGACTAAAGCAAATAGATATGGGCTTAAGGCTGATCCTTGATGTAACCCAACCGAAATAGGAAAATACTTGGTCAAACCACCTTGTGTTTGAACACAAGTAATAGCTCCTGCATACATATCTTTAATGATTTGAATATAAGCATTATTGACTCATTTCTTTTCAAGAACTCTCCATAGCACTTCTCTTGGAACTTTATCATATGCTTTTTCTAAATCAATAAATATCATATGTAGATCCTCCTTATTTTCTCTATATTTTTCCATCAAACCTCTGAATAAATGTATGGCTTCCATAGTCGACCTACCCGACATGAATCCAAACGATAAAAACAGAAATATTTATTTTCATTTAGGATGCTAAGGTCACTATAGTCAAAATCTTATTTTCACAATCTTCATTAAAAAGTTTAGCAAAATATCTCATCCACCTTTGTTGAATATCATCTTCTAAGAAAATTATTTTTTGATTTTCATCCTTAATACACTTCACTTGAACTAAATCCTTACTACTCATATCTCTTTATTTGGTTAACTTATGCATATATCTTTCTCCCTCCTTAATATTTAATCTATTATATAAATCACTAAAAGCTAATGACATAATAATCTAAATATTATTAAAATTATTTAAATGATATAATATTTCTAATAAGTGAGAATGTATATATATATATAATCTCAAAATCATTTTGCCATTGCAATTTCGATTAAATCGGTTCAACTGTTCTCAGTTTAGAAGGATCAGTGATTTGGACATAATTTTTTACTGGTTGATCTCAGTTTCCTACAAATCCAAGTTATCAGTTGAACCAAATTGATATGAAGACCCCCTTAACTGCCCAGTTCGATCTAATTTTCAGCACCATGAATCAACGTCTATCCAGTTTATCTGGATCAAATGTTCAAGTTAACTTGCACTGTATCTTTATAATTGGCAAAAAATATATATATTCTATGTGGCAGATCCATTCTTCGAACATACGCTCATGATGATGTAAGTGCTGGATCATGGTTTATTGGGATTGATGTCAAGCATATTAATGAAGGAAAACTCTGCTGTTCCTCATGGTCCTCAGGTTTTCCCTTCTTCACTAGTAATTCCAGTTCTCTACTTTGATATTTCTGCACTGCTTGAAATCTGGTTTATGTGCTCTGATTATTTATTTTCTCTATTAACTGGACTTTTTCCCCCACCTGCTTTACAGGATCTGTATGTGCAACTGTGTGAATGAGTTTTGATTAACTATAGATGTCACTGCACTAACAATGGCAGAGTAGTCTCTCTTGTCTTCTACTGTACAATATTCATTCTCCCAAGTTTTTTTATTATTTCATCTGTCTCAAAATGTCTCTATTTTGCTTGGCCATCTTTGCCACACCATTCTTCCTTGTCAAACAAATAGTTGAGAATTATAATAGAAAATTCTTTGATGTTTACTTGTTTTGAATATAAATGATCAAAACAATCTCCAAATTATTTGTATGTGGTTATTTTATTCTCATACTATTAATGTGTTCAGCTTAATCCCTGAACTCTTAAATATGATACAAAATAGTCCATTTGTTGGATCATTCTAAATCATATTCGAGTTAATGGATTATTTTAGATAAAAATTTAGAAGTCAAGGAACTAAAATTGGACACATATTGCAATAGTATCCATAAATAATTTAAGGATCAATTTGACTTTTTTTTTTCTCTGTTCAAAACAAATCTCTTGTTATTTTAATGAGATAAAGAATAGAAGACTCTACACCAAAATATTTGCATATAGGTACGTTGATTCTGAAATTCAATTGATAGGGTTATATTAGTTGTGTACAAACAGGATCGAACGACTCTCAATATGTATATATATATATATATATATATATATCAAAACTTATATGCATGGAAAAATTATTCTGTGCGGGCATCGGACGGTCTGAAGATCAATTAGAACGTGCAATGTCATCCGCTACATAGCGGTAATGAACACCGGTATCGAGCAAAAAAAAAGTGATGCAGTGCAGTTTAGTTTGTCTCCGAACGTCGTTCAGTGATCTGGAGTCCGCAAATAATAAAATTTCCTATGCAAGGATGTGTTCAAACGTTAAATTGCCTGAAAACACAACTATTGGGTTGGTACCCCATTTTAAGTTTTGTTTGGAGTAGTTTTTATTATTTTTTTATTTAAAAAAAAAAATATATTACAAAGTTGTTGAAAGCAATTATAAAATTATCTCAAACAAAGTTTTATTATCATACTGTTTGTTTGAGATAGTTGTAATTTTTTATAATGATGGTTGTAAAGTTGTGGAAAAATTAATTTTTGCTTTCAGTGCAAAATTTCTCAGAGAAAAAAGGAAAAAAAATGAGTAAGGGGTCAACAAACTCCGACTCAATTACATTGACCACCATCCGACTGAAAGCACTGGAAGCTAAATAGAAGCATTGGAAACACAGATCACCAGGGAAGCCATGGAAAGCATCAGTGTTAAGCATAACCTGAAAGGCAAAACAGTCAATAACAGAGATCAAAGTAAAATTGACCCAAACCATAAAGCCCAAAAACCAAACATAAGAATTAGGGCACCCAGCACATCACCACCTAGCAGAAATACCCTGATACCCAGAGCAGAAGACATCATCCCCAACTTGAGAGGCGAAAATTCTAACCAGCCCAGCAAAACACCCACAATAACCCTTAGAAACCAAAGGCACAACCATAAACAAAAGAGTAAGGAATCACACCTGGGAGAAGCCATAAAAAGAGACGACCCCCAAAAGGGGATCTAGAAGGCAACAGCCTCAGCACCAACTAAAACAGAGGACCAAACCATGAAAAAACAAAGCACCAAATTACCTAGAAACATAAGGAATACCCAGCTGATCAAGATGCAACAAACCTTTAAGAAGAAAAGGGATAGAAGAAACACCAAAGTCAGTAAAACCATCCAGGTTACAATCAAAGTTAGTAGATGCAGCATTCGCAGGCTTGGCAATCACAGTAAAGGACGAATTCATGAAGACCTGAAGCTTTTTAATATCCCTAACAACATAAAAAATGCTCGGGTTACATCACCTTTCCTCCATAAATTGTAAATAGGAGATGTTAACACCCGAATTGACCTCAATAATCAAGGTAGTAACATTAAGCGGAATGCACAATTGTAAGCCATAAAGAATAGCCATACACATAGCATACTCCACATTGACATTCATAATAGGACCCGCAAAGGCCAATTCATAACATTAAGCGGCATACTATGCGCTTGTTTTCAACTAATCTCACTATCATTATGAGCCAATTCATTTGCTATTTGACTTGCACTAAAGATGTAATATATTTGTTTGGTTCACGAACACCTTTGGTTATGGTCAACCTTATTTTCTTAAACTATAAAATTAATCAAATTATGTGATATTTAATTTAAAAAATAGATAAAAAAATCACATATTTAAGATAATAAATATATTTTTAATTAAAAAATATTTTTTTAAAAAAAATAAATGAAAATATTTGGACCCTAAATAAAAGTATTTAAATTTCAAGTTGCACTAAATATGATTTTTTTCTAAGAAAAAAATAACTTAAACCTCTATAAAAATTTATTGTGAATAAGTTATAAAAAATTATCTTGCTCCTTTACCTTATTATTGTTTTAGATAGCAACATAATAGGTAATATTAAGGCTCTTATTTAAATTTATTGTTTTTGTGTGCTAGAAAAAGTTGAGTCGGTAGAGTGTATGTTTTATATCTCACGTGAAGGTAAAAAGACTAGAGAATTTTTTAAGTATAAAACTCAAAAAACAAAAAATCATGAGGCCTGACCTAGTTATAAAATATACTAAATAATAAGTGATACAAAGACGCTTCTTTCTCCACTATTGAAGAGAGGAATAGTACAAAAATCAAGTATGAAAGTTAACATTCAATAATAGGGTTGACATTTTTTAGTAGGAATTATAGAAAATAGATGTCCATAGATGAACTTTGATACCTAGCAGCACAATTAAATCTTGTCAATACTCTATCGATGGTAAAGACGTATTATGTTGATCCTCAATGGTGATGGTGGTTATTGGTGACAATAGCTAGTGGTGGTCATCAGTAAGATGGTAGGAAAATGCAAGAGAGTTCTTTCTAGTTTTCTATCATTCCTTCTCCCCTTTCATGTAAAGAATGAGGCTCTATGTATAAATTTTTTGTGAGTGTCATGCTCTATAAATATGTATAAATCTAGGATAATATCAGAGTGCTTCATTAAACATCCAATTCTTTTGATCGTAAAGCTTTCGTCAAGCATTAAAAATTCTTAATGATGTCAAAATTAAGTAATCTTGAGCTCGTTGGATTCATCTCATTGAGCCGCTCGATTTGGCTATAATCATGTCATATTTGAAGAATTGGTCATTCATATAAATCTCTGAAGCTTCTCAATATATTTCATTCCCTTGATTTGAGCTCATTTGAACTCATATTGTAACGATTTTGGTGTCATTGGGTCCGTCTTGCCGAAACGTTCAGTTCAACTATAACTATGATACCTAGCAGCATTATTTAATTTTGAAAGTTTCCAATTTAGTTATGCCTTAAAATTCGTGTCGAATCACGATCATTTTTGGCGATGCATCAATTTTAATTTAATTATGATCTTAGGAAATTATAAAGCCATCAGATCATGAACCTATATTTATTAGATTATTATAGCGATGATTGACTAAAAAATATGAGAAGATAATGAGAGGAAATATATGCGAACACTATATTATGATGCAAGAAATGAGCGTGCCATAAAAGAGACTTTTCAAGATGAGGAGGTGTCGTGTTATTATATAGAAATATCAGATATAGTATTCAAACAAATCACATGACATGATTTGCAAATTGGGGGATAGCAAATTAGACATATTTGAATGAAAAAAAATGTAGAATAAAAAAGTATGAAAAATAATAAAAAATGACATTTTAAATATTTTTATTTTAGAGAGAGAGAGAGATGAGATGTATTTACCTTTCCATGAGAAAAATGCTTACAATGAAAGAGAGAAATAAAGAATGAGTATACTTTCGTGAGTTCTCTCCACGCCAATTTCTCATTAGTGGCCCTTCCCCGGCGCTGAACAGCTTTAGAACCAATAAAACATTGCCACACTTCCTAAAAAGAGGACAAACCTGTTTTGGATAAGTTCAAAAGCCTGTTTTTTATTTTTGCCGTGGTTCGGGATCTCAGATGCTCCGTCAGCAGTAAAATAAAAAACGGCCACGTCAAATTCAATCCAAGCGTCGCTTTCCATTCCGACGAACGATGCCACATCGGACGGTGGAAATGAGTTAATGTGTGGGGTCCAGATCTTTACATCATACCACGTCAGCCACGGCGTGCTCGGCCTGCCGGGAATGCGACTTTGGCCTTGCCACGTGATAGCCCAATTATAATTTTCCACGTGGAGACACGCTGTACCAGGTCTTCCACTAACATTACTTCCGCGAACGACTTACAGCACCTTAGAAAAACACCCACTTCGGCACCCGCGATAAATGGGGGAAAATAACTCGGGGTTTTAAGTACGGTCGAGAAGTCGGGTCTGTGTAGACTTCTTTATCTTAGGGATAAATGGAAGAGTGATCTGGAAGCGAATCCATCCGCTCTTGGACCTCATGGTGGGGCCCACAAAAATAAAAGCACGAGTGGGTCCCAGCCGCAACAACATATGTGGACTGTACTAACCATCTGGACTGAGAAGCGCCGACCTGTGAGCCGGCGCGGGCTTGGCCGTTGGATTAAGTTGATCGTGATCTTGCGCTACTCTTTTTGAAAAAAGTTTAATCATGAGGAAGTTCCCCTATAAAGGATTATTATTCTGTGCCGTTGGAGAACAATTAAAATGCGTCATATTATTTTTTTATTATGCACTGCGGTTAGGTATCATTCAGTATCGTGACTCGATACTGTTGATATGGTTGTACCTAATTCATCTCTGGACATAGAGCTGCGTTCAGCCTCTACACCTGTGTGATCACCGACCGGTGTCTATAGACTAATGAGAATGTGCCATGTTATTTTTTTTTAGTTGTATACTCGTGCTATATGATTCACCTCTGGACCATTCGATAACATCACAGAATAATTTCTCGGGGTTAAGAGACATGGCATGAATTTTTTTTCTTTTTCAAAATGTATATATTTTTAAGGAATATTGAATAATTAAAATGCATCTATTTGTTATTTGATTTGATGTGAATGTATTAAACTAGTTTTTTATATTTATTTAATTCTATTTAATAAATAATCGCTTTTTCTCCCTCTCTTAAGTGTTATCTTCAAGCATGACACGAGACGATAAAATAGATGGTGATAAGAGAAGAAAGAGTGAGCGAGAATACGAGCGAGGGATGCGATAGTGATGAGTGAGAAAATAAGGAAAGTGTATATAAAAGTTAGACTAATT